GCTTCTTCCTGGCAAGCTTGTACCATGCATGCTCAGTGTTATAAAGAAATAGTTGTGTCTCCCATTTGAAACGCCTTTTAAATAGTCCAGTTTTTCATGCAAATATACAGGTGATAAGATTCAGGTGATGCACTGAATATTGCCATTTCGCTATTCTCTTTGAATTCTGCCACAATAATCTTATCTCATTTTTTGTAACCTCCCTGGTAGATGGTGGGAATGCTGTAGATGTAATATATCTTGACTTTAGCAAAGCCTTTGACAAAGTGCCCCATGATATTCTGATTAGTGTGCTAGCTAGGTGTGGGCTGCTTAGAACAAGTGTCAAGTATCCAGAGGTGGTCACAGAATTGTACTCAGAGAATCCTTATCAATGACTATCCGTCAAACTAGGAAAAGGTAACAAATGGGGTATCCCAAGGCTCAGTCCTGGACAAGGTGCTTGTCAAGATTTATACAGTATTAATGACTTGAATGAGGGAATGCAGGGGATACTTATCAAATCTGCAGATGATACAACATTGGGTGGAATAGTTAATACCTTTGAAGCCAAGAACAAAATTCATAAAGATCTTGATAAGTTCAAGCACTGGGCTGAAAAGAACAGAATGAAATCTATGAGGGATAAGTGCAAAGTTCTACACTTGGAAAGGAAGATCAAATGCATAGTTACAAGATGGAGGATACTTGGCTCAGTAATATTACGAGTGAGAAGAAGCTTGGAATTGTAGATCAAAAGCTGAATATGAACCAACAGTTCAATGTGGATGCAAAAAAAAAAAGGCAAATATAATTTTAGGTGCATTAAGAGAAGTATGGTCTCCAAATTCTGTGAGCTACTCGTTCCTCTCTATTCAGCACTGGTTAGGCCTCATCTAGAGTACTGTGTCCAGTTCTGGATACCACTCTTTAGGAAGGGTGTGAACTAACTGGAGCAAGTTCAGAGGAGGATAACCAGGATGACCAGGGGACTGGAAACCAAGCCCTGTCAGGAAAAACTGAAAGAACTGGGCATGTTTAGCCTTGAGAAAAGAAGATTAAGGGGAGATATAAGAGAACTTTTCAAATACTTGAAAGGTAATAAAGAGGATGGCAGGATCTGTTTTCGATCATCCCATAGTACAGGAAATGTAATAATGGGCTCACGTTACAGGAAATCAGATTGAGGCTGAATATTAGGAAAAACAACCTGTTAGAGCAGTACAACAATGAAACCAATTACCTCAGGAGGTAGTGAGTGCTCCAACACTCGAGGCATTGAAGAGAAAATTGGACAACCGTTCTTTCAGATCTGCTTTGCTTTGGATCCCAGCATTGAGCAAGGGGCCGGACTCAATGGACTTATAGGCCCCTTTCAACGCAATTTTTCCATGATTCTTCTGCTTAGGCTCTATTCCAGTCTGAATTAGGGACTCCATGATTACTGCATCATAATCAATCGTTTAACTGAACATTATTCTTTTAAAAACCCCAGTAATGTTGAATTTCTATTACCTGCCTTAAACTGCTAGACAGTGGAGACAGGGAAGAGAAGGTAACAGAAATGTGCAAGATTCTCGGAAATTATAGAGATGTCCTCTGAAAGTCTTTCAAGGCAATCATTCACTAGCAGCAGGTGTTACTTCTTGGTATTTTCATCAAATTATTTCCTCAGAGATAATAAGTGTATACACATATGTATAGCTAGGTACACACTTGTGCATGGGCACACACATGGTTCTGAATTGCACTATTCCAAGCAAAGATATCAAAACGGCTAAGCATTCATGTGATCTGCCTGTTTGTCCCACCACAGGTGACCTGATTTCTTCATTTACACGTTGAAAATGTGGACAGATGGCATTATGCTTACGAGAGGATTATCACACAGCAAATCCATGCCCTTATCCACTTCCAGCCAGAGGAGGAGTCAAACAGAAACCGTGAACACTAAATCTCCACCACCGCACGGCCCCCGCCCCCTCCCCTCCGAAAATAACGACAGTATGGAAATGTTATCTCAAATGCGTATGGAAGCACCAAATTTGCAACATGACTCAGTAACTGAGGTTTTAACTTTAAGTGGTTAAGTGGCAGCTGCCATGCCAAGTTCAAGAGCAGGTGCAACCCATGTGAAGCTTAGACTGTGCAAAAATGTTGAAACACCTAGGGAAACAAATGAGCGTTATCACAAAACTCTGTGGCTCACTTATTAAACAAATCAGGAGAAGGAGGAGGAGAATTCCATGAAGGGGCAACTATAATAGTCTGTTGCAAGCAACAGTCTTTGGCATTGTGCTTTCTCCCCTGCTGCAACCCACTTTTTCAGAATGCCTGAATGAAGAATGGAGTCTACAAAAGCTTATTTCAAATAAAACTTGGGATCACAATTTGAGGCATTACAAGACTCATTGTGTTCATAAAATAAAGTTTGGGACATGACTCTACTTCCCTAAGCAGATAGTTCAGCAGTAAGTTGTAAAGGGATCAATTTCCTTGTGAGATGAGAATAGGAGGAGGGTACAAACCATCCTCAGTGCACATTAAATCAGCAATAAAACCTGGAATCTTCTCTGGTACTTACCCCAAATCAAGGTCCACAAGACTAGAGTCTTATGGTGTTGGTTGTTGTTATCTGGTGTTACTTGCTCATTTACAAACTATTGGTAATATTCATTTTTTACAAGTTAGAGAAAATGTTGATACATCAAAAATTTCAAGCAAAATCCTGCAACTGTTAGAGCTGAGCATATTCTGTCCCATTCTTCTGAAGCCATTCTCACTAGGACCCCTAAGAATGGCAACTGCAAATGTAGTCCTATGGTATTTTGAGGGAAGGTCTTTCCTCTGCATGCCCATTGGGTACAGCAGCCTTATCTGCTCTTCAGACCATCCTCCCCAAAAAGGAAACTTTACCAGTTGCAAGTCCATATTTTGCTGAGGGAAGGCTGCCACATAATGATTGAGGGAAGGCTGCCACTTAGTGATTGAAAATGGTACTGCATGATTCTAACACAGAGGTACATTTAAATTAATTAAAGGTAATGCTTAAAACACACACACAACCCAGGCAGACATCAAGGGGCCGCCCCTTTTGACTCCATGTCATTTTTCATGTGTTCAGATTATTCAGTATTTCAAGATCTGTATCACACTTTTTGCCTATAAACAGGACTAAGGGAAGCTAGCAGTGATATAATAAAATAAAAGTAATTATAACTGATTAACTTTCGTATGTGGAAAACAGTTATTCTCGCCTCATGCAGCAACATGCCATGGAACAGTCTAGCTGTAAAAAAGAGATGCAAGTAAGAGCCCCAGAGCTCAGTGAATTGTCTTTATACCCTTCTTCGCAGCTATTCATCACAACCATATTCTGACCCATGCGTGGTGCTGCAATATTATCTATCCTTCCCCTCCCCAGAAAGTAATGGATAAATGTGTCCTGAGCACTGGTATCTGTCAGCAGAATGCATGGCTCACTAACTGATTTTAGACTGTGTGGCAATTTTTATTACATTCATTCTCAGGATTAAGGTTATGTCTCAGGACCGAATTGCCAGGAATCCCAGATAGTATTTCTGTTTTACTTCATTGTCACCAACCTGTTTGTTTTGTTGTTGTTGTTGTTGTTTGATTGTTAAGTCGTGTCCGATTCTTCATGACCCCATGGACGAGAGCACGCCAGCTCTCACTTCCATACATCACTACTGGAAAAACCATAGCATTGACTATGCGGAGTTGCGGACCTTTGTCGGCAAGGTGATGTCTCTGCTTTTTAAGATGCTGTCTAGGTTTCTCATCGCTTTCCTCCTAAGAAGCAGGAATCACTTAATTTCGTGGCTGCTCTCACCATTTGCAGTGATCATGGAGCCCAGGAAAGTAAAATCTGTCACTGCCTCCACATCTTCCCCTTCTATTTGCCATGAGGTGATGGGGCCAGTGGCCATGATCTTAGTTGTTTTTATGTTGAGCTTCAGACCATTTGTTGCGCTCTCCTCTTTCACCCTCATTAAGAGGTTCTTTAAGTCCTCCTCACTTTCTGCCATCAGAGTGGTATCATCTGCATATCTGAGGTTGTTGATATTTCTTCCAGCAGTTTTAATTCTGGCTTGGGATTCATCCAGTCCAGCCTTTTGCATGATGTATTCTGCATATAAGTTAAATAAGCAGGGAGACAATATACAGCCTTGTCGTACTCCTTTCCCAATTTTGAACCAATCAGTGTTTCCATATACAGTTCTAACTGCTGCTTCCTGTCCCACATACAGATTTCTCAGGAGACAGATAAGGTGGTCAGGCACTCTCATTTCTTTAAGAACTTGCCATAGTTTGCTGTGGTCCACACAGTCAAAGGCTTTGTTTTATGGGAGACCTTAAAAAACAACTTACATATCTGTAGAATAACCAAGTGGATAAGGACTGGATAATATCTTGCAGACCAGGCTTGCATATTTAATAAGTTTATGAAAAAAAAGAACACAGAGAAGGAGAAATAAAAGGGAAAAGGGGGTTGTTAACAATTAAAGAGAACAGTTCCAGAATCACAAAAACATGCATATACCGTAGGTTCCAATATGGGAAAGAAAATCCCAAAGCTTATGTCTTATTTTGTCTTAGAAATAATTTTCATTTCCACCTAAGCAACCTGGATTCCACCACCACCCCCCGCCCATCCTTAGAAAGCCATATGCCAGCTGAAGAGACGGTGGAATGACAAAGAGAAACATGTTCTCAGCCCCAATATAGAATGGACAATATGGTTTATTAGTTTTAACCCACCTTTTGAACCCAGTGGGGAGCAGAGAAACTGAATAAAAGGCAGAGTCCCTCGCAGATATGTCCAGAGGGTGAACAGGTAGTGAAAACAGGAACTTTAGTTTACATAAGGCACAGTCCATTGGCTTGAAAGAAGCTTTGAAAGTCCAGGATGAAAAGGAATGACATCTCTTCACCCGCTAGATTAGTAGCTCTCTATTAAGGACAACGAACTGCCTGGACAAATGCCCTCTGCTGGCCAGGTGTCATTTTATCTAAAAGTGCTTCAGCAACTGGGGATTTATGAGAAAATTTTGGATCTTGTCCGATTTTGGAAGCTGAGCAGAGCCATGCCTGCTTAGTACTGTACTTGGGTGGGAGACTTAGAAGAGAATCCTGCTTGAAACTCCAGAAAGCAGTTGCAAACCAGAATTGAAAATACTGGGCTAGCTGGACCAATGCTCTGACTCAATATAAGACAGCTTCCTATGCACCTTTGAAGTTAAACACAGAGCAGGAGGGTAGGGAATTCAAAGCCCCTTGAACACTATTTATTGTTAAGCTCCATACATTTCCATCTCACATTCCTTGACACTAAACAGATTGACTTGGAAATAAGTCCAACATAGGCCCAAAGGAACACCAAAGTGGTGTCATGATGAGCATTGGAGAAGAAGCAGGGAGCTCTGGGTTCAGATCCAAAACCATATTTGTCAGAAAACTCATGTTACTAGTTTATCTAACTTACCTCTGAAAGTTGTGGGTAACCAAAAAAAAATGGGGTAATCTCCTTCTATATCATTCTAACTTCCTGAGCTCTTTCAAGGAGTGGTAGAACAGAAATATAAAAATAATGATAATGATAATAATAATTCTCAAAGGGTTTGCAAGCTGTCTGAGGAGGAATTTAACGGGTTTGGAGTGTAGGTGGAAAGTGGACCATAGCAGCTAGTCTGCTCTGAGTAATATCCAAGGTAGGAGAAAACACTGGGCTGTGAAGAAAAACTCAATTTACTCACTATCCAAGTAGGAAGTGCTAATTAGCTGTGCCTAGGGCTGGAACCCTTAGCCTAGATTCTAAATTTCTATATTTAGCCCCTGTCTGCTTTTTGCCAGTCCTGGGGCCCTGATTCTCACCTCTGTCACTGCTACCAAGGGGAGAAGTATTCAAACAAGGAAGATCACCTGCCTGAAAGGCTCCCGGAACAGCTGCTTTTCTTGAAGGCCTTGCCGATATTAAAATGTTATTTTCCATTCAGAAAACAAAAGCGAGCCCACAATAACATGAACAAAAGGAAGGGGAGGGAGTAAAAAATTGGAAGTGAACTCCCAGTGCCTTTTGGTTTGGTTGGGCAGGGGAGAGGAACATTTCTTCTCAACATTTTGTAGAAGGAGCGGCTAACTGTGGGTCCCAGCCCAGGTGAAGAGGTCAAAATTGAACCTCAAGCCCATCAAAGTTGTGCACTCTCACCTTAAGACATTCCAGCTGAGAGTGTCAATCTTGTTTTCAGGAGACTATATGCCTCTGTTGGAGTGTGGCTGCAGGAGTCTGCGACTCAAGAGTATCCTCCTCCTAATGCTTCAGTATACATCCCTGGAACATGTTGCAACATTCATTCCTTTTAAAGAAGGACTTTCCTCTGCCGCTTTCTCCTGAAAGGCTAGGTTGTGCAGTGCAGAACTTAGCTGAACTGCACATGGGGATAGATGTGTGTCAACATATACAACAGATATATTCAGAAGATGAATGCTGGTGAACAACCAATGGGGTGTTTGGAACCTTCTTAGAAAGCTCAAATGTCAGTACAATTTATGAATATTCAACAATTGAATAGATGTGTCTGGAGGAAAACTGTGAAAAGCAGGGTGGGAAGGGGTGGATTCCAAACTCTGTAAGGAGATCCAAGTCTATACATCTTTTCTTCAGACTTGAGGTAATGGTCCAGGATGATATTTATTCCTTGGCATCTCGTTTCTGTTGCAAGATCTACAGAAAAGCTTCTTGGAATGTCTGGCAATCCCTGTAATACAGAATAAGGAAGAAGTGAGACAATTTAACTGAAAAATTACCATATGTAAAATCTTCATAAAGGAACCATTTTGAGGAGTGCTCCCAGAGAGAAAATGTGGGCTTAGCAAAGCCAAAAAAAAGTATAGTCTCCTTCAGTATATCTATTTGAAATTTGATTTTCAAAGCCTGCAGTTTTTCTCATCAATGTTCGTTCTCTCTCTCTCTCTCTCCTTGGTCTTCTCTCCCTCCTCTCTGCCTGTTGCCCAGCATTTCCTATGAATCCGTTTTAAAACATACAAGATGATGCTGGTACCATTTTTTCCAAAGAACTGCATCAAGATACAGAGAAATGTCAACACAGGTATGAACAGTGTGGTGCAGTAGCTGTCATGTTGGAATTCCACCTGGAAAATCTCGGTTCAGATGCTTGGCTACACAGTTCCCTGGGAAGCCATATCAGTCTCTCCCACTGCCTGAACGTTCGTAGAGCCTTCTCAACACCTCACGACCATTATTGCTAAATGTGGGGGGTGGGGAGCCTTTAAGATAAGCCAATGTTTTAATGCTTGCTTGCCATGATATTTTTCAAACTGGGAAAACTCCCATTAAAAAGACGTTTTCTTGTTCAATGGCTCTTGCCATTGAAATTTGATGCAGCAACAGCGGGGAGGTACATGCAGCCCACAATAGTTGAGGAAAGTTGCTCTCCAGGCCTGCTGGAGCTGTCCACACTCTCCTTCACATAACTGTAGAGCTGATCTGACCATCTTGGAAGAAAAATTAGAATGGAAGTATACATTCTGACTTGATTTGCCTTGTGCCGTAAATGAGGCAATGCTGGAAAGTTATCTTTGGGCACATATACACTGGTAGAATAGCTTGCTATTTGAAATGTTTTTGGTGCTGCCTGGTTTATGGTATTTGCATGTGTTTTGATTGAGAGTGATCCATCCTGCCCCCTTTTTAGAGGTGTACCAGTCCTTTTGGCACAGTGGTAGAGCTACAATTTGTGTTTTTTTGTGGAGCATGATTTGGAGAGCTCCTAATTAGCATGTTATGCAACCTGTGTGGATGGATAGTCCACACAAGAATAGAAATGTGGGCAATGTTATCTGAGGTGACAACTCTGTAACATATTTGGTGGGTTATGGCACTGAAAGGAATGGGAGAGAACCCTCATCCTCTATTTTCATCTACTCTATTGTTTTAAATTTTCAAATATAATTTCCTATTGATGTAGAGCTATTCTAGATCAATGAGGTCCATTAGTGGTATTATATTTCCATGCAAAGTACATGCATTGCTATTTTGCCATGAATATTTACTTTATTTAACAACAACAACAAAGGAAAGTCATTGCAGCCTATTGAGTAATGGCCATGGGGAAAAACAGGGCAGGGGACAGAAAGGGAAGTGCTGTTAATCCAAAGGGGGACAAATTGGGGTGATCTAAAGACCTGTCTGGACTCTTCTCGTGAGAGAAGAAATGTTGATCAGTGTGAACCAAAGAATCGCTCAAGTGAGGGATAAAACAGATCATATTAAAAATAAATACCTTTTAAGTGCAAACCAGATCACTCCAACTTCCCCCACCTAGATGTGCCCCTTAATGCAATCTGATGCAAGGTGTGGGAGAAATATATGCAAGGTGTGGGATGCAAGGTGTGGGATATATATATATATCCCACACCTTGCATACACACACACACACACACACACATTACTGGCTGAAATCATGTTGCTTTAGTGTAATAAGTGGGGATCTGGTGAATCCATGGATTCATTGGGCCTACTCTAGTTGTAACATTCCACTAAGCAACAAGATTTCGGCCACTATGGAAAATCACATGCAAAAGACAATGGCACAGTGGTTTATCCCTTGTTGCTTGTTATCTATCACGTAACCAAGCATATGAGCAGATATGCAACTGCTTTCTTGGCCAGAGACAGCTGGGGAAGCTTGACAACTGTCCTGCAATACAAATAGGCTTGCTTACATAATTTTGTGCTCAGTGCTCCATGGAACAAGAAGGATTCTGGCTAATACTTGTGGGGGTGTGTGAGAGGGGTATCTGTGTCATCCATAGCAAAGCTGTTAGGTTGCCTGGACTAGAAAGCAGCAAACTGGTAGGGGCACTGATGTGTGTGTAACAATTTCTTTTTTCAAATCCAAGGTGTTAGTCAGTGGCACAAAACTACTTCAGAAAGAGCCTCAGGTTTTTAGTTTTTGCTTCTGTCCACAAGCATTTGATGCAATTTGTATTAAGGCTATCACCCATCTGCAGTGATCACCATTGAATTATCATTATCAAAATAGTAGACAGACATACTTCTTTGTACCCTGGAGAGGTTCATTTTGTAGCAACAGATTCTTCGACTTTTTGGACCTAAGAAATAATAATAAAAAAAGTTGTCAAAATATATACTGTAATAGGATTTTTTTTACCCCTTAAGGCATCCTAGGAACAAGGAGGAGGCTAATCACAAAAAACAAGATGGATTAAACTACTACGGATAAGAAGAAAAACAATAAGTGAACAGCAACAGAGCATAACCTTACTCAAACTGAGGACAAAAGTTTCGATCTCTCTCTCTCTCTCTCTCTCTCTCCAAACACTGGTATCTTTCTCTATATATAAGAATCTAAGGGGCACCCTCCCTAATAGCTGGGGGCAGCTGCATTTTAGCAGCCAGAGATGGCAGAATGTCAGATTAAGGATTCTGAAATGGAATCTTCTTGAAACAGGCATGGTGTAGCTGTCTGCATATGTGGTGCCCTGAATAGGAGTGCTAAGATTAAATGAGAATATCCTGCCATAAACGTTTTTAGACCCTGCTTGTGGAAATCTCACTATGAACAAATAGACATTAACAAAATGCAGTTAAATTCCAGGCAGAGAGTCATATTTTGAAGATTCCTGGTAGGAGGCCCACCTGAATTTGATACATAAAATAGGAAAATACACAGGCTATGTATTTTGCTTTCTTAGTTATCTCTTATTTGTCATCAGGTCTATAGAGACCCTATAGCTAGTTAAAAAAAAAGAAAGGTAAGGTGCTCAGTTTTTAATATTTTCATTGGTTTCAGTCTTAAAGTCTGTCCTAAGCACCAAACAACCACCTTCAAGAAGTGCTTTCAGAAAGAATGTTCCCGAGTGGGTTGATAAGGAATGTTATGTACATACCTAAAAGCAAAAGCTGAGAAATTCATATAACCAGTACAAGAAAGAAAACCTTGTGGTTTACACATTATCAGCAACACTGGCCAGCTTCCCCTAATATGGCTGGAGACTATAGGGATCCTGGTCTTTTTAAAAGTGTCAGAGAGGAATCTTCAAATAGACACCTACCAGTTTGTTGTTAGTAGTGGAGAAATTATATGACAGTTATTTAAATACTAGTCTTGACACCTGGACTGAAGAAGACAGTATTTTGGGAAATGAACAAGCAACCTTCAGGAAGGACCATTCAGCCCTTGGTTACTGATTACTGCTCAGTCATCTAGCAGACAAATATATGAGCCCCAGTGAGAATGGATTGTCTGTAACTTCATAGGCTTGAAATCAGCTTTCAGTTCAACACCAACTGAAAAATTATGGAATAAACAATATATTTCTTCAAGTTATAGAAGACTGTTTTATTAGGTGCTTTTGTCAACGTACTGTACTGCAGTTGGAATAAGTTGTGGCATGGATGGTAACTTGACCAATCCTATTTTTGTTCCTACGGAATCCATCAGGGCTATATACTAGAACCAACATGATGTAGTTCCTACTGAAATGACTTAAGAGGTGCTTAGCATTTGATTTTCATGCACCCAAACTGTCAGAGTTCAAAGGGGGTGGTGCTTATCCCGTTTTCAAGCCTGTTTACAAGCCAGCGCTTGTCCAAAGACAGTTTCTGTTGTCACATGGCCAGCGTGACTAGGGAACGCCGTTTTACCTTCCCACCAAGGTGGTCCCTACTTATCTACTCACATTTGCATGCCTTCGAACTGCTAGGTTGGCGAGGAGCTGGGACAAAGTGACGGGAGCTCACTCCATCACGTGGATTCAATCTTACGACTGCTGGTCTTCTGACCCTGCAGCACACAAAGGCTTCTGCGGTTTAGCCCGCAGTAGTTCCTAATGAAATGATTCAAGAGGTGCTTAGCATTTGATTTTCATGCACCCAAACTGTCAGAGTTCAAGGTTCCATAATTGCTATACGCAGGTGACAATGCTCCCATGTTGCTCACTAAAATAGGTCTTTGATAACTTTTTTGTATTTTTATTGTCTACTGTAAAGATAGTTTGTTAATAATCATTTTTAGGAAAACCAAGAACATGTTTTTCCACCAGACACACTGAGGGAAAGTGGATAATAGATTGGCGGAATATTGAACAGGTTAATAAGTTTAGACACTTGGGTATTATTTTTTTTCCTCTACTCTTTCTTGGGCCAGCCATATACAAGGGGCACAATTCATCCTTGCTGCCCTACAAGTAGCTACAGTCAAAATTCTACCCCAGCTTCTATTTGGTGCTGCAATATGGAGTTAAGGTTTTAATTCAATTGCTGAAAGTATTGTTTCAAATTTGCTGCACTTATTATTATAATTTTTTTAAAAGGTCTAATTGTGTTTCAGTGGTGGACCTAAAGCCAGAGGCTGACCTTGCATCTACAGAGTGTAGATCTTGATCTCTTGCTTTTTTTATACTGGCTATATGTTGCCTGCACTGACCCATCTATGTGTTCTGTGTCATAAATTTGGAGTCGACTAATAGGGCTTTCAAGATAAGTTAGATATTTTTTAGTTCCACTCTCCCAGTGAGTTACCATGGCTGAGAAGGGATTTGAACCCTGTTCTTCAGAGTCCAAGTTCATCACTCTATCCACTACAGCATACTATGAATCCAGTGGGATTCATCTATAGGTAACCTTTTTTTTCCTTCACAAAGATGCTTTGTCTAGTTCACGGTTAAAGAAATTTATTGCTAGATTGCATCTAGTATGTCTCTCTATGAATTTTCTTCAAATACAGGACAATTGTATTGTAATATTCATCCCAGAATAATGAATCAAGGACTTGGATTGTCACTATCTCCCATCAAACACCTGCAGATTTTTCTCTCTCCAATGCACTTTGGCTTAAACTTGGTGTAGCATTCACCCTTATTATGAAGTAGTCATGCATATTCATGTTGCAGGCTAATGTTGCTAAGGGGCGGAGCCAAGAGATAGGTAATAAAGAGTCAGAGTCAGAGAGAGTTAGTCAGTAAGGGAGTGAGAGAGTGGAGAGATAGAGTGTGGTATTTGGGAGATCTGAGGTGTGATTAGAGTGAAGAGTGAATAGGAACTGATATAACCAATAGAAGGTTGAGATTGATGATAAATAAACCTGTAGAAGTTACCTATGATTAATAATTAAACATCTATAATCAATAAACAAGTTTTATTTAAAAGACAGTGAAGTTTGGACCTTCACCTTCATCCTTCCATAATTAATGTTGATTTAGTGATCAACTGGTGGCAGTGGGTGAAAAGGAGTATGAGTTTGCCTTCATGTGCTCTGTGTTTGGGGAGTCAGGCAGGGGCACGAAGAGCGAACGCCACACTTGAGTTTTCCAAGCATGCTTGGTATCTGGATAATAATAATTTATTGTCATTGTAAGTATATACACAGTATACCCATACAAAGAAATTCAAAATAATGTTATTATTGGATAATGGATTATCCAATTAATGGATAATGTTATTCCTCCAAAATATTGGCACACTTCCCCTCCAGGGTTACCGTTAACTCTCTTGCAGTATTGGAAGGGCACTGTGACAACATTTCATATAAAGATCAGCTGTGCCCATGTGGTGATAAAGACGTTAAGTTGTTGGCCCATATCTTTTTTAAATTGTTGCCTCTTCAGAGAAAAGTGTAACAGTCTTCTCAATCCTATTTTAACGAAATAGCCTGGAAGGCCGTTCACATGGTATTTGTTGGCAGGTATAACCCAATCAATCACACAATAGATAGCTACCGTATTTTTCGCACCATAAGACGCACTTTTTCCCCACAAAACAGGGGGGTGGAAAGTCTGTGCGTCTTATGGAGGGAAGAAAACAGATTATATTTTCCTGTTTTCTTCTCCTAAAAAATTGGTGCGTCTTATGGAAAGGTGCGTCTTATGGAGCGAAAAATACGGGTAAGTTCTTTTTTCTGCTATAAGATCTCATAAAAAGGCAACAACATTTTCACCAACTGTATTATCCTAAATATGTTTATGCCTAAATAATTATGGACCTTCACCTTCATCCTTCCGTAATTAATGTTGATTTAGTGATCAACTGGTGGAGGCGGGTGAAAAGGAGTATGAGTTTGCCTTCGTGTGCTCTGTGTTTGGGGAGTCAAGCAGGGGCACGAGGAGCGAATGCCACACTTGAGTTTTCCAAGTATGCTTGGTATCTGGATAATGTTATTCCTCCAAAATAGGCACACTTTCCCTCCAGGGTTACCGTTAACTCTCTTGCAGTATTGGAAGGGCACTGTGACAACATTTCATATAAAGATCAGCTGTGCCCATGTGGTGATAAAGACGTTAAGTTGTTGGCCCATATCTTTTTTAAATTGTTGCCTCTTCAGAGAAAAATGTAACAGTCTTCTCAATCCTATTTTGACGAAATAGCCTGGAAGGCTGTTCACATGGTATTTGTTGGCAGGTATACCCCAATCAATCACACAATAGATAGCTAAGTTCTTTTTTCTGTTATAAGATCTCATAAAAAGGCAACAACATTTTCACCAACTGTATCATCCTAAATATGTTTACGCCTAAATAATTATGTTTTTATTACTCTGGTCTTAATGTTGTATTGTAACTTGGATCTGTGGTGGCAATGCTAATTATGTCCATACAGGTAGTTATAAAAAGAAGGGTGGGGTGCATAGGTTTTTTAACATATTCATTGATAAATTTGTACCTACTCCTGTTTGACAAAATGAGCAGTAATACAGGGGTAGTGGGGGGTGGTGGCATAGTTATCCTTATGTTTCAGATATTGAGCGAACTTCTGAGAAGCACAAGTATTGCTGGTAATTATGAGGTATACAAAAAAAAAATCCACAATAAATGCTCTTAAAATACAATGCTTTCTTTTCTGTTCCCTTTTGTTCCTTCCCTTTTCTATTATTTTTCCCCACAATGGTGTTCAAAAGTGTCTTGCAATATATCAGATAAACAATTGATACAACAATTCTATAATAAACAGTTTGATACAACCAGAGCATACCTATAAAATAGCAAATGTGAATCAACTTATCTTTTAAATCTTTTTAACAACTATAAATAATATTTAAGATCTTGGGTATTTCAGTCCTCTGAATCTAACTCCCACTAAGTTCTTCCCATCCCAAAACTTTAAATGCTATCCTTTTGCTGTAATGGCAGCCCATATAGTTGAGCTTCCCAGTTGTCTGTCCACTGCTGGAAACTCAGTTCAGGATTACACCAACCATTGTCCCTGATGCATTAAGCCAGTTCTTACAAAGAAGCAAGCCTTGCCTTCAGGGAAACGAGAGCTTACCTGCACTTTCAGTTGTAAAGGTCTCAAGGCAGAGAATCAGGATGAAGACCAAGCTAAGGAGTTTCAAAAACCTCATGGTTCTAACCGGGCTGCAAACTGTCTCTGAAAGAAGCTTGTGCTGCACCTGCCGTTTACCCACAGTACCGTCCTTATTTATATACACACGGTGCCAAACAGAAACAGATTGTAGATGGGAGGAGACTTGGCTTTTGTACTGCAGATAAGCAGAGAACCAACAGCCGCACCCTCGTTCTCAGGAGGGCATCAGGCAAACATGGGTTCATTGAACTGTTAGTGGCACAATATAGGAAGATAAGAGTTTACAACCTCCGTTGGGAGTTTTTTGACTAGTCCACAGTGCTTTGTCTAATTAGACCCACCTCTCATGAGAAGGTGTAAAACGCCATTCCCTAGTCATGCATCAGGCAAAAATGGGTTCATTGAACTGTTAGTGGCACAATACAGTATAGGAAGATAAGAGTTTACAACCTCCATTGGGAGTTTTTTGACTAGTCCAGAGTGCTTTGTCCAATTAGACCCACCTCTCATGAGAAGGGAGGAGTGGTAAGAAAACCTAGGCTCCCAGGCCAGAAACAGATTATAGAGACAACCCATGATTAGACCTGAAAGCATTTTAATGTTGCAGGGAAGTGAACTGAGGCACTTTTACCATGTCTGTGTAATCAGAATTCAAAGGCATCCTGTCCTGAGGTTGGACACCAGTCACCAAAGCAAACTCATCTGTATAATCCCAGAGGTGAGAAACCTCTGATGTGAGACATTTGTTAAGAACTTCCCTCTTCCAGTCCCAACCTATCTCTTATATCTGTTGCCAGACCCAGTTGCTCCAGCATGGAAATGTTTAAATGGTTCAGAGAATGTCACCCACTGTTGATGCAGACAAGGTGCTTTGGCTGAGACTAAGTAGACTGCCTAGCTTGCTTTTGTGCAAGGTTCCTATATGTAGACACACATGCAGGTAGGCTAAACACCTGAAGTAAACCTGTCACCCATTCCATATCTGAAGGTATTACTGTTTAATCAGTGTTCAATATACTGATAGATTGGTATTCAATATACAAATACAAATGCAAGTATGGAACAGGATCCAAGCTCAACAAGCACTCAGTCTGCACAAACCATGTATTTAGTATTACAGTTATCATATTGTTTTCTATTTAGTATATGACACAAATAACATAGGTCTGTGAATAATGAACTGACACCTGTAAGGTACCACATTCTTACAGTGTCACAATGTCTTATTTATCTTGAAGCTCTTTGCTGGGAATCTAGGCAGAGATCAGAGTCACTGTAGGGAAATGTGATCTTACAATACTGTAAACAAGGGCTGGGGGACCAGTACCATTCCTAGATGCTGCTGGGCTGTAAAACACATGAGCTGCCCCCCCCCATGGCCGATTGCAAAGGTTCAAAGGGAGCAGTTGTTTACTAATTGAATGATTTATGAATATTTATCAGCCACTTAGAACTGAAGATTCCGAAGTAGCATACGTCAGTGCTCAAGCGCACTTCATAAAACTATGTGTAATACAAAGATGCAACATAGATGTTATCTATCAAAAAGATAGTAAGATTAAACAAAGCTGACTGAATAGCTCAGTGGTTTGGGTATCTGGCTGCACCGACTTCGATTCCTGTGCTTCCTAAGAGAAGAGCCAGCCTGTGTGGCCTTGGGCAAGCTGCACAGTCACAGGGTGTCCACTTCTGTCTTTTCTCTTCCTAGAAAACCCTGGAAATGGTCTCCAAAAGTCAGAATTGACCTGACAGTACAGTGGTGCTGCACATTACGAGCGCTCTGTTTGAGGAGGAAATTGCATCACGACGAAGATTTTGCGATTGCAAAAGCGATAGCAAAAGCGATCGCAAAATGATGTTCCCTATGAGGGAATTTCGCTTTGCGATGATCAGTCCCCTGTTTCGTTAGCCGATTATTGCAAAGCGATGATTTTCGTCCAGCTGATTGGCGTTTTCAAAATGGCCACCGGGTGAAAAACATGGCCGCCCGCTCTTTTCTGGCATGGATTCCTCGCTGCACAGGCAGTGAAAATGGCTGTGCTATGGAGAATCTTCGCTGGACGGTGAGTTTTAAGCCCCTAGGAACGCATTAATTGGGTTTTAATGAGTTTCTATGCGCTTTTTAAAATCGCACGACATTTTCGCTCGACAGCGATTTTTTCGGAACGAATTAACATCGTCATGCGAGGCACCACTGTACATGATTATTAAGGCTAAACAGACTTGCAAAAATACTTAAGTCTTGGACATGCACCTAAATTAAGGAGGACAATACTGTTCCAAATAGCAGCACTACACCCAGTGTTACTCACATTTGGGGAGCTGCAGATTTTCTAGGGCAGTTCATGAAAAATACAGTTTTGTCTGTGGTTCTGGTAGCTGTCAAACACCTGAAAGGCTGAAATTTAGGACAGGGGCTGGTGATGTTACAGCACTATCCCAATTTAAGAGAAAAACTGGGTGACTAGACTGGTTCTTAGGTGGCAATGTGACAAATGCTAGCCACCACTCCCCCGCCCAAGAAAACCCCTTTGGTCAACCAAGATCTACAGCTGTTACGTAAATTTGCAAGCCCTTTACACTAACCTATGGTTCTCCACCCCTCAAAACACACATATGCTCCTTGTGCATTGCAGCTGCACACTGCACAATGTTACTGCAGTTACTGAATTTTAAAAAGTGTAAGAAATTAAGTGAAATAATAAATAAACCTAATTTAGGATGCATGCATGGACATATACAGGCTCAGGTCTCACATGAATAGGCAACATGAGTGCAAAAATCTATTCCCAACCAAATGCATTATTAATACTAAATTTTAAAAAATGCAATACGTTATAGTGTTGGGAGTTTATGATTACCATTCACATATTTTGGGACAGAGCCCTTATCTTATTACAATCAACCAACACCATTATACACGGGTTGTTAACACCATGCATGATAATGCATTGTTGACTTGACAAAAGGGGCAAAATCCTGTTGACCTAGTTACACTGCTGTAAACCAGATCTGGGTGTTGGAAATTTGAACAAATTGAAAGCTTCCTATCCTCTCTTCAGGATCAAGGCTCCCTAGGGCTTTCTTTTGCCATTATGGAGAATTATGGCTATTAAAAGCTTCCACCCCCACTGTATCAAGGTTCCCAAAGGCTTCCCCAGCGAAAAGGATGCCCAAAGGAGCCTTGAAACATGAAAACGGGATAGAAAGATTTCAATTAGTTTCATTTCTGGCACCCAGTTCCAGGTTATGCTGTCATAACTACAACAACAGGATTTTGCTCAAGATGTCATAAGGTCTGACCATATCACATCTTTAGTCCAAAAATTTAGAGCCTATCCATCGTAAGGTCTATAGCTTCCAGAGGCTGAGACTAAGTAAGTAGAGTTTCAGAGTCTTACAACACAATTCAACACAAGACATCCAATAGTAGTGATAGGGCCACTAGAGATAAAGAAGGAAAATCACCTTGAGTCTTTATGACAGACTCTAAGCCACCAGAGATATGGAACGGAGCCCTTACCTTATGGTAAGATAACCTGTCTATTGAGGGTGGGGAAATTTTTTAGCCCTTCAAATGTTTGTAGATTATAGTTCATTCCACATGCTACGCAAGATGGGGCTGATGCAAGTCGTTCACTAAACGATCTGAGAAACTTCACAGCCCCACCCTGATGCACACTAGTGGCACTGTGTACATGAACAAAATATGATAGGACAAATCAAAATGCCATTTCCGACATAACTTAGGCTGCTTCCACACTAAGCCTTTAGTTTGAAATGCTGGGGGTCCATATGATGTTGTCGTTCATCAATAATCCTGTTTCCTCAGTGCTTCGTTCACTCACTCACTCTCACACACGCCACCTTTACCACAGAGTCTATGGGTGTCTCTTTTCTACACCAGTCACAGCACTTCAGCTCTATTTTAACTGCCATGGCTGCATCCTGTAAAATGCTGCCAATTTGCTATTTGGCAGAATATTTAGAATTCTGTGCAAGAGAGCACTAATGCACCCCCTGAACTACAGCAGATATTTCCCTCAGGAAATATCTGCTGTACAGTCCTTTGTTACATTTTGGCCAGAGGCCCAGGCCAAAAAAAACCCAACAACTTAAAAATAATATTATTTTGCCACACAAGTCATACACTTTTGAAATAAAACCATGCAAATTCTTCCAGACTTTAATAACACAATAGAGTGCTGGACTCTGGAAGATTAAACAAGTTATTTTTAGGGAGAAACTTGAGTTAATCAGATGATCAAGAACAGTATTTTCATTTTTGTTACATTTTGGCCAGAGATCCAGGCATAAAATACAGAAAGCTATCATTGATGTTAGAAATACAGAAATACAAACAAAGGTTTGTTCATATAATACGTGGACTCTAGATTAGTGGTCCCCAACCTTTTCGGAACCATGGACCAGTTGGGGGCGGGGTCCTGCGCAGGGGTGGGTGGGGGTACCCTGTGCTCATGGGGTGGGCGTCGCATACTTGTGGGTGAGTGGGGCATGCACACGCATCACATCCACCATGCAGGCGTGTGGGGTGGGTGGGAGATCTGTCTCTATGGCCCGGTCCTGCGAAGCCCACAGACCGACACCATGCCATGGACCAGGAGTTGGGGACCCCTGCTCTAGAAGACATCTAGGTTCACAGCTGGATGGGAGACAGCCTAGGAGTCATTGTAGTGTTAGAAGGCCCAGATGGTTCTAACAGATGTCCCTTCCAGGATGGCAGTTGTTAAACTCTCATTCCTTCCCATACAGTGGAACCTTGGCTTACAAATGTCCCTAGTTAGGAACTTTTCGAGTTACAAACAGCTCCGTCCGCAAAAATCAGCATCGACTTGCGAATGGAGCTTCGACCTATGAATGAAAAAAGGCAGGGGAAAAGGGCAGGAAATTCAAACCATTGGTGGCAGAGGCTGCTACTTTGTAGCTCTTTCGTCCCAATGGTTAGAGCAGGGAGTCAGGGAACTTTTACTTCTGCTGAGCAGGAGGCGGAAGCCGGTGTGCTCCCTGCCCATCTGTGGTGCGGGTCTACTCATGAGTGACCGCCGCTGAAGGCGTGGCAGTGGAGGTAAGGTGCTTTTTCCTTTAAAAAAAGTTGATCTGGGTGGGTTTTGGAGGGTAGGTTTGGGCTGGTGGGGGTTGTTTCTGTGTTGTTTTGTTTTTTGGTGATTTTTTTTGCAGTCCCAGCATGGGACTTGCTCTGTTCATTTTCATTTTTTTGTATTTTTTTTCCCTTCGGCCAGAGTAGATTAATTGGTTTTCAATGCATTCCTATGGGAAATGGTGCTTCGACTTATGAACTTTTTGACTTGCAAACACCATTCCAATACGGATTAAGTTCGTAAGTCGAGGTACCACTGTAATTTTGTCATCTTCCTTTTCCAGTCACTGTGACAAAGGATGAACAGCAAACATAGTGACAACTGCCATGATGACCTTAAACGAGTGGTGAATGAAAGGTCAGCATAATACAGCCCCCCTTCTTACTCCATTACACAAACATTGTAATTGAAGGGGGAATTGCAAGAAAGCAACTGCTCACTGTGGAGGACCCCTTGGTTTCCTGCACCAGCTGTTGCCTTTCATTGGAGTCCTCAGATCCTTTGCTAAAAGAATCCCTAAAAGGGGAGGGAAAGTCACTTTCTGACTCCGCACATGCTGTTCTCCGGAACCATTCTACATTTCTAAAAGGTCTAAACAGTACAAAGGAATGGCAGAAGAGAAAAACAGAAGTCGTTTTTCTTTCCTCTTTATTTTGTAACATCAGTGCTGTATGTAACAGTTTTTCTTTCCTCTTTATTTCATTTTGAGGAACTGTATACACTGTATTAACTCTTGAGCAATCCATGATAATGAATTTCTGCATTTCATCCTAGGCAAATTTGTAACAGATATGTAAAGCTTCTGTATAAGGGCTATTTGAGAGTAATTCATAGACGACAGGATATAGCAGGGGTTGTCAGCCGCCAGTCTGTGGGCTTGTTGAAACTGGGCCATGGATACAGATCTCCATCCCCCCGCACACATGGTGGGTGTGTTGCTTGCGGGGTGGGCATCGCACCCATGGGGCCACTTGTCATGCTCACGCACGTGCACAACACACCCACCATGCTCATGCAGAGGTGGCGCCCCCGCACATGGAGCTCACTCCCCCGCAGCTGATTTACAGCCCCCAAAACGCTGGGGACTGCTGGCATACAGAATCCAGTGGGGAAAAAAAAAATCACATTTTGGGAACAGGATTTCTCAAAACTATGTGTAGAATTACTGGCCACTAGAAAAGAATGCAGGACCAACTATTAATTGGGAATAATTACAACTTTGCCAAATCTTCAACAGAGATAGTAGGAAATGACAGAGCAAAACAAGTAAATGGTTATTTTGCAAGACCACAGGGATGATATTTGGGACAAATATCTAATTTAATGAATGGCTAGATTTGGAGAAAATGTGTTACTAAGCAGAAAGCATATAGTGCGTGTTAAAACCATGAAATATTTAATATCTAAGACCTAACTAGAAAACTAAAAATGACTTCAGCCGTAATGAAATATTTATTAAAAGATCAACTACCTCTTTGGCATTTCAGAGAAAACAAGACGAATTAAATGGTGGGCTTCAACTTTTATTGTTTCAGAAACTGACACAAACAGAATGGTATGATGGAAGAAAGACAGATGAATACCACAGCATTCAAGTGCAAAGTAACATTTATTTTACCTGATGAATTTACATAAACTCATTTCTCCAGGTTATTAAAATATTACCATTACCATTCCACAAGTGTCCTTGTAAAATTCAAGGGAAAGGCAAATTAACTTAATATTTGGAAATGAGGGTGATTTCTTTTTTCCCCAGTAAGATCTAAAGAAACTGCCACTTGAATGCAGCAGTATTAAATTGGTAACAGACAGGAAATTACGTTTCAAAAAGAAGATTGTATCCCAATGTAGCTCAAGGAAAATCAGAGGTCTGAAGTTCCCACATTGATTTCTTTTCTTTTGCACGCTATTCAAATAGTCCTCTCCCCTATCAATTTACCTAGGCTTTACAATCACAACTGTTGGGTAACTACCTAGATAATTCCTCGGTCTTCTGCTGAAATGTGGCCGAGAGGGGGCGATGTAGATTAACAGCCATTGTTTGGGAGGTCCCATTCTTCATTTCTCTTCGTGACCAATCAAGGCACTGGGGCTATATTTAGGTGTTATCAATATGTTGTGTACTTTAGTGCAATTAGATGCCCACATTTTGTATAGTCATCTCCTAAAATTCACATTGGCTTAAGCATTGTGCACAATCATGCTGGTTCTATATATAAAGCAAAACTGCAGCATGTCATAAAAGAGCCATGTCCTTTCTTTTTCTTTTCTTTTTTGAGAAGGAAAGAAACTTTACACCTGCTATAAATATACATATTGAAATGAATTTCTTTTCCATTTCAAAAAATAGGGAGAAGTGTTGAATGGTACCTAGCAATTTTGTTTCCACTCGACTGTTTTTTTTAATTACACAGAACACCAAGTCAACATTATACTGAAAATAAAGATCCTGTTGAAATGGTCAGAGTATTTGACTTCTACATCAGCTGCTTGTACACAACAGTGGTTTTATTTAATATTATGCACTAAGCAGACAAGCCAAAGTGTCTGATGATCTGCTGATACAGCCTGCTAAGGAAGCTGCCATCTATTTCCTTCTGCCGCCACCACCAGTTGCAAGCATGGTAGCCACTCTGATGAAGATGTTGAGAGTATCCATGTAAATACCCATGCACCTGAAACAAAAACAAAACAGCCATTAACTCATCAAGTAGCAAAATTAACTTTTACTATGATTCTGCATTTAAGCTGGTAACTCTGAGAGAGACCCAGAAGGAAAAAACTAGAAACCGGGCCTTCTCAGCGGTGACCCCTCAACTTTGGAACATCTTCCCCCCCTGAGACCTGCCTCGCTTCCTCACTGGAAGTTTTTAAGAGTAAACTGAAGACCTGGCTCTTCAGGCAGGCCTTCCATCCTGCCATTACTTAATTCCTTCTCCTGTTTTTTCCATCCTGGATTATGTTGATTTGTTTTAATCTTTTTATTGATGATTTTAACTTCATTGCCTTTTTTGGACTGTAAGCCGCCCAGAGTAGATGCATCTAGATGGGTGGTATAAAAGCCAAATAAATAAATAAAATGGATAATGCTTTTAAGTGGGGAAATATTAGTTTACACTATTATGACTAAACAACTCACTGTCCTTTTCTGCAATGGACTTGCAAATAAGTTCATAAAAGGTACTGACCTAAATTAATGCTGAGTACATAAACTGCCAACATATACTTTTATTATCTTGTGTCATTAAGAACCACAGACTTCTATAAAATTTCCTTATTTGGCTATCTGGAAACTATTCTTATTCAACCCAGTCTCTCAGTCTTGGAGGCAGATGTCAAGAAAGATAGCAATGAGTTGTTTGTGGAAGGCCACAATTCCTCAAGAAATGCAGTGTAAATCACATTGCTGACATAATACCCATCATCTGTAAATGCTAAGTTATCAAGGAGCTGGTCTCACTGTGTGGCTCATGAGCCAATCTGGGAAAACATGACCAACCACATTTGCACAGAACTGCTAAGGACACAAACAGCTGTTCCTTCCTCACACATTATTCTTAGTCCCATGCTAACTTTAAGAGGACATGATTATGGAAGCAACATAATGTAATGGAGAAGTGGGAATCCTATGATCCTCTAACTGCATCAACAGTAGGGCCAGTGTTTGGAGAATTCTAGAAAGGTAGTCTTGCAACATACTGAAAAATCTCAGTATGGAATCTGGTTGGGGAAGGAAGATTGATCTGGTTATAACTACTGAGAAGGGAGCAAAGACATGAGGTATGGCCTCAAGTGCAACACCATAGATTGTTAGATAAGGAATGACAATGAAGGCAACACGACACATTGGGATTTTTGCACTTCAGAACATTTAACTTCCCTTGAACCCACCACTGGCCAATATGTCACAATGCTCCGACATAGACTCCTTTCAACCTACTCCTTGGTAAAAGTAGCAGGGTCTTTTCAGGGTCCTAGTAGCTTGGCCAATTATACTGCAAAAGGCAGACTTAAAGGGCTGTAGGTATGTAAGGGGCTTCTCAGCCTCCCTTTTCCAGTAACAGTGACCAGTGCTTTAAAAAAAGTTCAATTCTCCAGCACTTCATTTCATTTAGGGCAAAAGGCTGTTGCAGAAAGAGGAGTAATTAGCAACATCGTAATTGTATGGTATTAGAATCTTATTTTATAAGTGCATTTTAAACACAAACATAAAAGCTCATGTGCATAGGATTAATACCCCATAGACTTCTCTGGAATCTCTGAACACAGTCTTTGAATACTATGTAAACATTTCCAACATGCCTCTAAGATGGCATATTCATTGACTTTGTTTTATCCTACCTGTCTTCCAATAAAGGGACTCAATGTGACTTATAAATATTTAAACGATAAATGAAGCTAAAAATGCTATAAATCACAATATTAAAAACAATTTAAAAATTAATATTTAAGGTAACCACTGAGTAAAAATATTAAGAAAATTTAAAAACACATTAAGTGAGGCTTTAAAAAGACAATATCCTCCACTGGTAGCCACTTGCTTGCCCAAAACAAGCTCAAACAGAAAGACCTTTGCTGTTAGTAGACAGCAGGGAAGAGGCCAGCCTTACCTCCCCTGGAAGGGGGTTTTACAGTCTGAAAGCAACCTTAGAAATGTCCTCTCTCACATCCTCACCAGGCTTAACTGTGAGGGTGGTGGGACGAAGAAAAAGGTATCCTCTGAAAATCTTAAAATCTAGGCAGGCTCATATGGGAACAACAGTCTTTCAGACAGCCTGGACCCAAATCACTTAGGGCTTTATAGAACAAAATCAGCACTTGTAATGGAAATGGACTAGTATAGTAAAGTACAGACTCAATAAAATTGACTTCTTACATCCCACTGGCCTGAGGTTTACTAAACTAATCATATCAAACTAATGTTAAGCAAGAGAGAACACTTACGAGTTGATGGGATCATACTTCTGTATTCCCAAACCATACAGTGGTTGAGTCTCTGCACGTTTTATAACCTTCTGAGTATCATAAAGCAGGAACAAACTAAAAAGTACTAATCCACCATACACAGCAACGGAATAGAGGCCAGCACCCAATGCAGATGTGGGTGGCAAGAACATTGATCCTGGAAGAGATGTACACACGGCATGAGGAAGAAACTCTGCATTTTGTGAACGCATACTTGCACAGTCCTGCAAAATCCTCCCCCTACAACAGAATGCACGATGTCTGAACAAGATACTGCTATCAACCATGTTTTCCAGGTGCATGCGTAACCCTGAATATCACAGACTACTTCTAGGATTTTTTCTTTTTGATTTACTCTAGAAGTAAAGTATCTCTTTTTTGTCAGTTCATCAGGGCAGAGTAGGCATGAGAATTGCACACCAAGCCTGAGCTCTGGTTTTAAAGACTTCTAAGATGGTGGCAAGCAAATACAGCTTAACAGGAAGGCTACAGATGAACAAATCACAATATGTAACAGCATTTATAAGCAGCTTTTAAAAGAGCACAGATATTTAAAACCTGATCTATAATTTCAACATGACTAAGAAATTTTGATTCTGTACAATGTACCCTCTAATTTTCAGCCCCGTTGGGCGAGGCTCTTGCCTCTCACACACAATTGCACACCTGTGTGTGTACACACAACTCCGCTCCTTGCGTACAGGGTTGGTTCCGTTGTGACCGAAACAAAAGGGGTTGAACGCAGTCACTGCGCAGAGGAGGAAGAGAGCTGCAAGGAGGGAGATGGAGTCGCGCACACACACAGCTTAGAGGGAACCTTCATTCTGTATATTTAAATCATATTCTTAACAGAACTTTTCTTACCAATGGAGGATGCAAGCACAAAGCCAAATCCAATTCCCAGAGGTGCTCCCATGTTCAGAAACTTCTCACTTGGTGCACACATGGCCACAGTCGAGAGCCCACCTACAATACCTGCTGTATACCAAGCAGCTCGAATGAGCAAGGGGCCACCCAGGAGAGTCAGAGGAGCCACCACAGCACCCATAACACCTAAGTGAGGAAAGAGATGTTCCTGTAAATTCAAAGGCCCAACTGCATACAAGGCACATTACGTCCATTGAACATTTTGGGGGATTTTATCAGGGGACTAAGGGTGATAAGGGATACATTAAACAGTGGCCAAAATTCAGTTGCCTGTGTTATATCTATAGAAGGTGAGGATATTGCCAGCAAGGAGAGATTTCAGTAATTAAAAACTTCCTTTTCCTGTTCCATGACTTGAACAACTTACAAGTAATCTGCTTCACTGCTTGGAAGCCATAGGAGCCATAGGAGAGAAGGAGGAAGTACTGTATTTAAAAGTATTCTACTTTCTGCCCACACAACAGGCATTTCATAGCAAAACAGGCAGAAATCCTTTTACACCTAAAATCAAATAACACTACTCAACATTCTATGGAGCAGGAAAAGACATCTATGTCCTTCTACAGCACTGGTCCCCAACCTCAGGTACCCCACGTGTTCTCGGACTGCAATTCTCAGAAGCCTTCAACATCAGCAGTGCTGGCCAGGGTTTCTGGGAATTGCAGTCCAAGAACACCTAGGTTACTCAAGACTGGGTAACACTGTTCTACAGCCAACAAAAAATAGCAGCTTGTACCTAAATCAGGTTAAGGCAATGGAGCAGTGCAGGAGTAATCACCTCCTTAGATCTTATGAGAATCCATTGCTAGAGGTCATTCAGTCATACTATGTTTTGCTTAATGAGGAAGAATGGTACCTCCTCCCTCAGGACAGCCGCTGTCCTGGAATACAGTAAACCCCCCTCAAGCTGTTTTGTTCCCTAGAGAAGTGAGGGATCTAACAATAAGACACGGCACTGCTGTGTAGTGCTCACAATCACACAATTAATTGTCACTATCAGCTGAGGTTTGCCAAGTGAGTTATCACCGCAAGCCGAAACTCTATCTTTGGATAAAGAACTATAGCAGGTGACCTGTTCAGGCTAATTCTCAATATTAATTATATTTCATGCCTTTTAAGAAAGTTCCAGCATATTATGAGCTCCCTACCTGCATGTAGCATCCAAGCCAGATGTTTAGGGACAGGACTTTGTTCATAATCTATTGATCTAACCAACATTCCAGCTCCAATCATTGCTGCAAAGGTTGCTCCTATTGCCTGTAAAAGATTATTATTATTTGCAAATCATTTTTACAACTGTTTTACTGTATTACACACTTTATAGCTGTTTCAGGATGACCTTGGTTACTGCAATATTGAGACAGGTTTTGCAGGACTGTAGCAAATAAGAGTTTGTGATTACATGTATTTTTATTAGGAGGATCTTACATCTCTGCTTTTTTGGTTTCCAAGCCATGCTTCTTAATGTGCTTTTAGCAGTTTTAAGTAATTATTTTAATACTGGCATATCTTTACTTTTTTTTTTTACTGTTGTATTTTACTGTGGTTTTGTTTTTTGACCATTTGGAAGCTGCTTTTCATCCCATAGTTGGGAGAAAGGCACCACACAAATGAAAAGAAAGAGAGAAAGGAAGTAAAATAAAATAAAACTCTAATGTACCCACTGTGGCACCACAATTGATCTACAAAATACTGCCTGTTCATCCACTGCAATTTAAGAAGCTATTGGAGGCTACAAATTTTTTTACCCAATCAATGAGAGGTTGACATTATCAAATACTTTAGATAGATAACACTAAAAACAGATCTCACCAGCCAGGAACCTCTTGTCATCATACTCATCAGGGCAGGAGATCTACTGACAAGTACCGCAGACAAGGCAGTCAAACCAACACTTCCCCCAAAGTACAGATAGGTGGAACGAATTCTGTCTTTCACATACTGTGGCCAAATACTGGAATCAAATAGAAAATGTTATAAACATTTTATGGAACAAAAACAGAAAATAGCCCATTCAGATCAATGGAACCAAAACTGCTCTGAAGACTAAAAATCAGTTTGTTTGTTTTTAAATGAAACACGGCTGTAATACAAGGCTTAAGAATTATGCTGGTCCTCCAACACAGCAGGTATTATTTACAAATACTCTGCTACTTGCAAAATGATCAAATTTCACAGACTGGATTAAAATTTAGCCATATTAAGAACAGATCTAGTTTGGCGGGGGGGGGTGAGTGCAAAAAGTTAAACATGATTAATATAGATCACACTATTGGAATGGGTCTATACTACAAGCATGCTTATTAAACTAAACCAGCTCTAATGAACTGGACTTTAGTCACTAACTCATCTCCCTGCAACCACATCTTTTTCTAATGGCAGGTTGCTTAATAATTAATAATAATAACGTGGGCAGAATGCCCACGTTATTCCTGTCCATCATATGGAGCTCAATTGCAGAAGCCTATGATAGGACAGGAGGGGCAGAGTTAGAGTGACAGTTAGACAGAGACAAAGAG